CTAGTGTATCATAAAGAAGCAGTTGAGCCGTATGTCGTACCATTTGGATCAGATCACCCTGGCCATGTTTTCCGAAACACTGTTGACACTGCTATTACGAGAGCAGTTCGTTATTCAACAACATTATCTCAATTCGAAGAAGAAATACGACAAATGAAACTCATGTTTCTCTATAACGGGTATGTTCCCTGTATTCATTCATGTTTTTCACTCTTTTTATGTGACTTATAGGTACTCGCCAAGACATATCCATCGGCGGCTCACTACATTATTTAGTAAATATTTATCCAAGTATTTCATTTTGCCTATGTTCAATAACCCTGATGACTTCGATTATTTACGGCATCAGTTATTGACAGTATCAACAGATAAAATATATAATAGAGCAACCAAAAGCTCAACTACCGATCAAACCAGCGACAAAAATATGCAAAATCAGCTTGTGCAACCTACAGACAACAATGAAATAACAAAAAGAAAAAATCTCATCATTCATAAAAGACATGAGCAAAGACTCACCCAAAATCAACATCATATTCATGAATTGTGGATGCGTACTTTTCATGGAACCGACGTCACCAATACTGCTCTAATTGTTGGTACTTGTTTGAATCGCAACTTAAAACAAGAATTGATGGTCAAGATGATCAAATATGTTCCGAATGCAAGAAGCGACAAACAGGGCAAAACGCAACCAGAGACTGGTAAACAAACACATAACTCTCAAACACAGCTAAACAGCCACTAACTTACCTTATACAGAATTTTATGTTGTTATATATAAATAAAGAAAACATCACTCAATTAAAAAGAACATATTATATATAACCCTTTATCTGAAAAGCAAACATACTTGCCATTAACACAAATAAAATCATCACCAAATAACCTCCTTCAATAATAGCATCGTGACGAATGTCCATACGATTGCCCATATACCACTATTATCATAAAATGATCTCATCATTCAAATTTCCAAAAACCATAAGATCATACCATTATAGAAAACTAAAATAACAGCTTCCGTATTTCATACAGCTACCGATGAGAACCAAGCAACCACAGGTCACTTTCACCGAAGTCGAAAAAAGAAACATATGCTATACTGAGATCAATCCCTCTCAACGAAACAGATTCTCAAATACTTTCCCCATGCTAATAAAACACATCCTTTCAAAACAGTATCTACATTTGTCTTGAATTTTCTAGAATTTTCTTGAACCATTCTTGATAAAAATATAGATTAGGTAACTTATTTGCGATTTTCGAATCATCTGAATAGTTACAAAAGATAAAACTACCTGATGAGACCCTTAAGCAAGGTCGAAACGCGTCGTAGTATGCTATAAAACACACCCCACGCTCACACCCAAAAATCTAATTGTTGTATTGAAAAGTAATTCGAATGTTATCCATGAGAAAAATTTAAGAATTACTATCTAAGTAAATACAATATTGAGAATACCACCTGATGAAGTCTAGCCAAGACAGAAACAACTGTTGTCGTGGTACGGCATTCTAAATTCTAAGCACACACCCGCTTATGCGTCCCCTCCTTTGAATTTTTTCGAATCGTCCATACTTTCGAGACCCATATGTCGAGAACAACATATCCGTTTGAGCTGAAATTTTGGGATTCTTCCTAACTTTGTGGCATTTACCTACAGTAAAAATATCAGCCGAATCGGTGAAATTCATTGAGCAAAGTTCTGTGGCGATTGCTCGTGGCTTACGTGCAATACCTCCTAGAGATCATCAGTCCAAGCAAAATGATCTTTCAACAAACATTGAATTCGGGCACTCTGGTGACTAAATAAAAATAATTCTTATTAGGCATCTCACAACTGCAAATATCAAGCTCTCCTCTGATTGCTCTGAAAATCATTATTGATCCCTGATATTCTACCACAACTGAAGTTCTCCTGATGTATCAAAAAAATAGCCTACTACCATTCTATTAAAGGTTTTGGTAGCTTAGTAGATCTATGATGTTGATTGAAATTCGCCTACTACTTATTACAACTTGCCCGGTAGGAGCAACGACTTGTTGAACTATTTAGGTGCCTTTAGCATAGTTTTCAATCCGAAGTTGTATTACTGAAGTCATTTAGACTCGTCTCAAATAGATTCACTTGATGTAGAATGCCTTTTTTTATAGAAATATATCTAAGTTCATTGAACACTCACCTTTATTTCTATGAAAATCTGACAGGTGTCATCCTGATTTTGCCATATTGTTATTAATCATAGTTTCTTTCTTAGTATTATGAAGCGATGTTTTCTACTAGTGACTCGCTGCACTGATATAATCACAGGTGTAACGGGCTTCTAATAGTTGGCAGCGAAACTTAACAACTACTAAAAATATTGAAAATTTCAAAATATTGCAAAGATTGTTTAATCGACAAAAAGTCAATGAACAACATTCACTACTATATAGAATTGTTGATACTTCTTTTTAAATAATCGAAAGTTCATATCTTGTTTCTTTTTTCATCGTGTAATACTCACTTGATATTTTCATTTGATAGTCTTATCTTCTTTTTGCGTGTATATACGCATTTTTTTATAGTTTCTTGTTCTTCATTTAACCCGTTTTTGCATAGGTAGAAGGGTAAGACTATTCAATGGGTGGAGAAAAATACCTAATACAATCAAAAACCAAACGAGTTTGTGCTTCTTTGTACTAATTTTCCTATTAACTCAGATTCCGAACCTTTTATTTTGTAGTACGCGTGTCCACTGTTTATGTTCCTGTTAGGTGCAGTGATTGTATTCGTTCCATGTATCATCGTCATTGTACAAAATAAGAAAACTTGTCCCAGTCCGAGTCCATCACCTGTGCCGCCAGTATGGAATGCAAGTGACTATCAATCCAATAGCGAGTATTATGCAAATGTGCCTATTCACGATTTCAAACAAGAGGATAATCTTCGACTCGATCGCCTGGCATCACCAAAATTTCATCCAGTTGATGGTTCTAGTGTTATCTATCTTAGAACACAATATCATATGCCCGATCTAAACGGATCAACTACAACGTTACATTGGTTAAATTTGAAAAAGATCGATGAAAAAACGTTTGTACAACTAACAAGACCAATCTGGGGAATTCGTGATCAGCAAGTAAGAATACAAACGAAATAGTTCGAATGTTTGAAGTCATATTTTTTTCTTAGTTCTATTGGGTAAATGATCGAACGATTCTCTTTCTGTCTAATCGAGCAACCTCAGGTCTTACACAAATTTTTCAATTGAATTTACCCGCCGATATGACAAAGGTGACGAGCTTCATCGAACCTATTCAAATTACTGATTATCCGTTGAACATCGATAATTTACTTGTCAATCGAGCAGGATCGCGTCTTGCATTCAGCTGTCAAGTCTTTGCCAATCTATCAATTGAAGAGACAGTTGCACGACAAAAGATGGAAGAAACAAGTGGGCAACTGATGTATCAGTTTGACAAGCTCTTTATTCGACATTGGGACGAATATATGACTGGTCCACGTCATCATCCTTTCGTTGTTTCAATCGAACACGATTCAAAAGGAACATTCAAATTCACTTCCACACCTGTCGATGTTCTCTTAGGTATAGACAGTGATTCACCTACTCGCCCTTTTGGTGATGCTCAATCTCAGTGGTCATTCAGTGCTAGTGGAAACTCGTTTGCTTTCACTCGACAACATGATGAATCAAGTGAAGTAGCCTGGACAACAAATTTGGACATATACACAGTTGATCTAAGTGCAACTAAATTATCAGTCGAGTGCATTACGTGTAGTAATTTAGCAGCAGATACGGATCCAAAATATTCGCCTATTGAAGATCATGTGTTAGTATATAGGTCTCAGGCAGTGCCAGGCTATGAATCAGATCAATTCAAAGTGAAATTGCATAATGGTAAGTCTTATGGACACTAAAAGAATCGTCTCAAACTCATTTCTTTAGGCGTACAGACAATAACATTACTTGATAGTTGGGATCGAAGCATTGATACAACAATATGGTCCAATGATGGTGAATCGCTTTTTCTTGTGCTTGGCGAGCGTGCCAACCATAATATTTATCGTTTGTATGATGTTCATAGTTCTAATTCGACAGACATTCGTCCTGTAGCTATTGCTATGGGTTCGTGGCATGATATCAATGTTCATCCAACTGATAACCAAACCTTGCTTCTAACACATGACAATTTTGTTCAGCCTGCAAATATTATTATGATTGACAGCTCAGAAATTGTGACCAATACGACGTCTCTTACATCACACAATGAAATATTACTTTCTAAGACACGACTCTCTTATATTTACGAATCGTTCTCATTCGAAGGTGCACGAGATGAGATTGTTGAAGGATGGCATTTAGCTCCAGTGAGCGGCACAACTGAAAAAGCGCCGCTAGCATTTCTCATTCACGGTGGCCCACAAAATAGTTGGTACAATAATTGGGGTCGTGGATGGAGTTTTCAGGCGTATGCTGCACAAGGCTATGCTGTCATAGCAATTAATTTTCATGGTTCTGATTCATACGGTCAGAATTTTACTGACAGCATCACTGGAGAATATGGTACATTACCATACGAAGATTTGAAGCTAGGGCTTACGGCTGCTCTCAACAACTATACGTATATCGACGAAAATCGAGTCGTAGCACTGGGTGCCAGTTATGGTGGTTATATGATCAATTGGATTGCTGGACATCCGGAAATGAGTCAACGCTTTCGAGCATTGGTTTGTCATGACGGTTTGTTTGATATGCGGGGTATGGCGTATTCTACCGAAGAGTTATGGTTCTCCGAACACGATGCTGGTGGTTTTACTCCTTACGATAATCCAGAAGCCTTCGAAATGTTCAATCCAGTCAATCATGTTGTTAATTGGACACAGCCAATGTTAATTATTCATGGTGGTCGAGATTATCGGGTTCCCGATGCCCAGGGAATCAGTGCATTTACAGCTCTACAACGTCGAAATATTACAAGTCGACTGCTTTTCTTTCCCAAGGAAAACCATTGGGTTTTGAATCTAATGAATTTACTAGCTTGGTACCGTGAAGTATTTGATTGGATGCGCCGATGGACACAATAAACAAGCATTTTTTTCTGCTTGATTAATGACTAATGTCTTAATTTTCAATTAAGCATACCGCTTTATTTACATTCGAAGGAAAAAAAACTAGCACACATGACTCGCCATCATAATAGTAGCTTTTTTGTTTTGGTAAGAAAATTGATATATTTGACATAATTTTATTCTCTTCTTTTATTTTAAATTAATTTAATTCAATTTAGTTTGAATTAATATTGAAAACATTTTTTATTTATTTAATTTAAAAACTAGTAATTGTGACGTTTCGTATCTCGATAAGATACTTCAAGGTGTGGGTGTGGGTGCCACTGATAAAAGAAGACGAACACGTACATCCACACACACATGCCCACCCCCACACCCTATATGGTTTACTTCCAACAAGGATACACATTTTTTTCGCCCTACTAACAGAGCTGCATCTTTACCTGAAATAGGCGAAGTACGTAATCATTTAATTGCTGTCCAATCAGTATTTATTGCTGAACAAACTCGAAATGTGAAAGAATCATGACTTATACGCGTTCATAGTTGCAAACATATTATTATGAACCCATACGCAATTTGGTTTATCGATTCAGTCCACAAGGGCAACGCGAAGAAGCGATGCGACGAGCTATTATATCAGGTGCATGTGTGATTTCGTAAACAAAAGAACCTTTTTGTACGATTATTTGCTATTCTTTGAAAAAAAAAATCTTGAAATAAAAACAAGAATTACTTTTTTTTTATCAATTGAAACATCGCTGATTACAAATAGACTCTATGTTTTTTGAAGAATTGCATATTCAGACTAGTAGCCAATCTTATCGCAAAAGTCACAATCATCTTTGAAATAGTTATCCATAGTTTCAATAGGATCCTGAAAGCATAAATATTTCATAACATCATTGTGAAATCTCGGCCATATCAGTGGAACTTGTATTGGCTGATTCAGATCTTGACTTTTAGCGTAATTTGTCCAATAGTTAGCGAAATTTGATGATAATCGTCGACCAGCAGCAGTCAAATTTGCCCGAAGTGCTTCAAATAGAAAATATAGTTCGTCGCCATGACATACGTGCCCTTGAAATACTGATGAATTACTCGCACCATTAGTTATAGGTGGATAAGTGAATACATGCGTGTAAGCAATCGGTGCCTTACGAGCAAATAGTCGTGATGAACAAGTAAATGTCCATTGAGTAAAGAGACGAGCCAACAATGGGCGCTGATCGTTAACTTCATCAGGTGGAAAATGTTCTACAACCTTAAAAAAGTTGTTACCGAACAATCCGAAGAGAATCTCTGCATATTCGAAAACTGATACTGGCCTACGAAATAGCCCATACAAAAATGGCAAAGATTTATCAGTAACTGTTCCAATGATGAGAATTTTAAGAGGAAAAGATGTATTCGCTATCATTTTGGCAAGTTGGTCTTGTACAATGATGTTTTCATGTCGGTTACCACCAATTGTGCAACGATAATATCTTGATAGGACACCTTACGGAAACATGCAATATCACTTACAACACATTTGAGCTGTTCAGCAAGAAGAACAGTACATGTAATGTATTCCGCATAGGTTCTACGTAGTAGTAATGGAATGAAAATTAATAAATTTCTCTATCGTAATTATTAAATTAGTTCTCCTACCGAAAAGGAAATGACATAGGAGAACTCTGGATGATAGCAGCTTGAAAGAATGATCGCATGCCGCTAGTACCATAATGTAATAATTTTGATTGTGCACCTGCACTTTCACCAAACAAAGTGATCTATGTATTAGAGAAAAAGAAATAGTATGATCAAATATAGAATTATTTGAATGAACCTGGTTTGGGGTGTGGGTGTAATTTTATGAAACACAACCTGAAAGGAGTGTTGAAGTGCTTAGGGTAGAAATTTTGCACCCACCCCCAGTGGGCGTGGGTGTTTGTATCAATGAAGCCCTGAACAAAACCCTCCCACGCAGATCCAGACCCAAACGCATCAGCCACCCACACCCACACCCCACGAGGAGGCGGCCTAGCTTGGTTTCCCAAAAACAAAGAGAAAAGAAAGAAAAGCTCTGTATTTTCTAGTTCATAATTTCTTTTATTTCAAGAAAAACACACACACGCACAGAAAAAAGCTATTTACAAAACAATTTGCACGGCCACAGTCGAAGCCAACCAACTAATAGTACACCTCAAACGGATTGATGAAGTTGTCCGGCTTCGCTTTCCCGTACTTGGCCCAATTAGCCTTCTCCACGGCGAGGAAGAGCTCGTGTATCACCCAGTCACTTTCCGCATCCTCGTATCTCTGGTCATCACTATGGAAGTCGTTGAGGCCGTCTAATTAAAGTAAAAAGACAAGGAAAATCAAATGCTTAAGTGATCAATTAAATATTAATCAAGTCTTACCTATCGACGATGAGGATGAGACCATTGTCGCCGTGACGTTTTTCCTTTGTATCCACATCCACTTCGATGTGTGTAACGGCTTCAGATTTTGCCACCGGTGATGGTACTGGTTTTTCGAGCAACCAGGGCAACTTGACCTCCATGAGTCGACGTGAAAACGGCCCCGTAAACTAGGATTACAAAAAGGAATATGTTAATGAATCGAAACATGTTTTTCAATTTATTAATGCACTTAATTGTGGGAGGCCATTCCATTTCTTCTCCACAACATTGCTCGTTAGGCGTGATGTCGCCAAAATAAGTATATTTATTTATCTAGAATATAAAAATGAAACCAATAGGTTTCAGTTTACTCGATTAAATTCTGACTTCTAAAAACTGATCGAACGATCAGAAATATTTGCCTTCGTTACATGCAAATATATCATGTAAGATACTATTTTTTTCTATCTCCAGGTCCTTTTGGGTTATCCAGGAAACACTACGTGGAGGCGGACCTTCTTTGTTTCCCACTCAATGACAAGCACAACATACTTATCTTGTTGCATCAATTTCTGTGACGAGATGAAGGACACGAGTATCTCCCACGGGAGCATCATACCATTCTAGCAATTACTATTAATTCTGTAGGGACCCGTTAGCGTCATCCAGGAAACACCACGAGGAGGTGGACGTGACTTATTTCCCGAAAAGACAAAAGAAAAAAAAACATACATACCTTGTTACCCATGGCATGCATTTGTTCAAGCAATGACTTCGTAGACGGCATGACGTTGTGTTCAGAAGTTTTATTACAAAACAAAACATTTTCATAAAAAAATAACACGAGGTTTATAGCGGATAAGAACTCCACTTCACAGTATGACACACAACAGTTACAACAACAACAAATTATTTTATTGTGTTACACAGAGTACTGATGTTTTTCAGTGCCTCTGAAAATCCGGCGATGACGGTACTACACGTTTGTTGATAATGTGAAGGTTCTTACTTTCCTTCCGTTGTATATATATCCAAATAAGTAAACCCAAAAGTGTCTTCCTACTACATAACTAACTAGTTATATATAGCGACAAAGAGAACAAAGAGAAAGAAGATATATCACGAATATAAAGATAGTACAAACACCTGGATATCTCTCGAACAAAAGAGGGAGAGAGAAAAGAGAAAGAAAGATATATCATGAACTTTAACAGAGTACGAATCAAACAACAGGTGAGATGTAGGAAGATAATAAGAGATACTGTAGATGGGGCTACTCTACGACCTAACCGGAGAGCAGGTCGTAACAGATAAACGCTCAACATTATGGACTGTGTTTCCACCTTCACTTGTAAATTTTGTGCCACGAAATCTGTATCGCCGAGACTGAGGAACAACGTTTTTATTGAGCCGTTATGACTCTCCTCTGTGGCACGTAGATGCTGAATATCCTACCGCATTTCAGCGAGCTCCAATACCACACGTTCAAGCTGTTATCGTTGCCGTCGTCTCTTCAGATTATTGTTCTTTTTTACCATAACACATTGAAGAAAAATACACAATATTCAGTTTTAGGATAGATCTATGCAATCAAAATGAGTCGCATTTACCTTGATCCGTTTCCATATGCTCGTATATGACCTCCTTTTTGATGATGACAGGTCCAGACATAATATTTATAGATGAAATATTTTAATCTAAAAGAAAAAACAGCAATCGATTAGATCGTTCCTATAGGTTACAATCAATATATTGTATAAATAAGCAAGATAAGTTTCCTTTTTTTTCCTTTCCATCCCAATGCACCTTACAGACTCAAAACAAGGGATGAATTTTGAACAAGATGATGAAATTAGCAAAAGAGTCCAACAAGCGAGCACCATCATAGTATGTTCATTTTCAAAAGTAAAAAGTATTGATATTCACTTACAAAAACAGTGCCACAGATTAGCGTCGCTAATAATGTAGATTTTATTATTCATTGGAATATTCATCCGGCTCTGTTCGTATACTATTTTAAAACGAAAACTTTAATTTGAAATTTGCAGGGCGCGACCATCTCGTCCTGCCCACCTTGCCCTGTCCTGCAAAATAGCAGGAGAGGCATTTTTTAAATTTTCGCCCTGCCCTATGGACATCTCTGTTTCACATGCTTCACATCGATACTACTTTCCTGATGTTGTCCTGATATTGCATAGTTTCTCTCCATAAGACCATATATACATCATTATGACGTGTTATGGTTTTTATCCTCAACGTTTCTTTAAGTTTCATATAAAAATATTTATGAAATGTTTTCTGTAAAAAGAAAGATGATACTCAAATTATATTTATTTCAATCAGCTTTTTTTTCTTGTAGTCAGTATACGTTTCGATTATTTTGAACTGACTGAGTTTTCAAGGCAGTTACTTTATCATTAACGATTGTCGCAAGTACTTCAACAGTACCAATATCATACAATTCTCAAGTGCATGGTTGTACCTAACCGTGTACTTCCTTATTCTAATGCTTTAGTTGATTAACTCAAAATTTCTTGGAAATTCTTTTATTCGTTTATCCAATGAATCTCTTTTTCCTTCTATCAATGGTGTTCGGCAGCAGCACCTCGTCTTCTATTGATAACATTAGCATTTGTCAATTAATTTCGTTTTTGCTCATTCGCTTATACATAATTTGAATAAACTTCCTGGAGGGTGGGTGAGTGAGTCAGTTTGCAGTGAACATTCATACCTACACACCGGGTATGAGTGTGGCTGAAAAGTAATTAGGCACACCCGTCCCAAATTGGCAGGTGAAAGTTATTTTCAAGCGATGCACTCATTGCACATCTTGGTTAAAAGAAACTGATGAGTGAAATTGAAAAATCAAATTGCTTCAATAAAAATCTAGAATAAAACAATCTTGACCAATAAACGAAAATAAACGAAAATTTTGAAATTAAACGTATAGGAAACAAAATGGCAGTATATGAAGAATGGTGGGATTCTCACTTCTCGCATGCAACTACCTCGCAATTATTGTATCTTATGATGTTTGGTGTTTATGAGTTTAACAGAAACGGCGTTGCTGCACGTCGTCTATTGAGCAATGACAATATCTCGTGCATCAATATTATGTGGCCTTGTGAAATTCACAACAATGAACCAATCCAACTGTTTGTGCCCCACCCAACCCTCTTACTACACTAGGACTTTCGGGCTGAATTACTTATGAGTTCTAATTGATTCCAATACAACTTATAACATTAAATAGACTAGTCATCACTGGCCACACTCGAATCCTCGATTTAACAAGTTGTTATAGAATTCTAATAATTTGTATGTTCTTGTACGACGTACTTCACACGTTCATCTGTTCTGTTAAACCATAAGTGGTTCCCTATTTTTACAAATCATGCATCTATATATAACTCTCTATAGGGGTTTCTCCAAGGTAAGTGCAATGAAAATGTCAACATGCATGCATGTACTATAATAAACTAATTGATTTTTTAGGCATAACTTTATGTAATACATATCTTCATTTATTCATTAATGAAATCGTCGTATAATATTGATGTTTTACGTGGCCGATGTCAAAAACTTCCTGACGTCCAGTCGAAAGTCGTGCGAGTTTTTCTAAGTTCTACATTTTCAGGTACAGAATCGTGCACCGTAAATATGATACAAAAGAATTACATATATGGTTATGTTTAGACACACTATGCGAACGCGACTCTTTGATCGAAAGTGTCTTTCCAATACTGAAAGATTATTGTCGTGAAAGGTATAGTCTCGAGTTCCAGGTTTGTATGGAAGAGTATGATCTGTTCTTTTCTCATCAATGCTCTATCGTTCATCATAGTATGCTGATATGCGATGGGGGATCGAAATGGAATCAGCTGATAATCATAGCGAAGTTCAAACTTGTCTAAATGAAATTGAGCTGTGCAAAAAATATTCGGTTGCCACCAATTTTGTGGTCAGCTACGCTTCATCACTTTTTCAAATTCAAAATTGCTTCCTTTGTTCAAATTGTAAATAGGTTTTATTGAGTCATCGTTATGGTTCTCGACCAACACCAGCAAACATTCGCGCATCCGTCTTTGAACTATTGCACAAGATCGTTCGTTCGGATCCAAATCAGAATGACGACGCTCAACTACTTTCACAATCGTATCAACTCGATACGAATCGAGTGCCGGCTGCCTACGTACTCCGTTCTATTTCATCAATTCTACCAAATATAATATCGTCCGTAGGTGATAAATTATGTTCGAAAGAAAACAGTTAATCATCGTCTATTTAGAATACCGAAGAGATGAAACAAGCCGATAAAGAATGGAAAAAAATTAACAATCGAATTCGAACATGTCTTCGACAAGCAGCGGGTCAATGTCTGGAACAGGGACAAATTGAGGAGATTGAATACGGCGATGTTTTTTATATCGGGTAGGTTTTGAATTCAATACTTGGACGATGTGTTTTTTTTTCATTTGAAATATTAGTCACAGAAAAAGAAATCTTAAAAGGCATTCTATCGGGATCAGATGCAAATCAACGTACTTTATGCTTTTTCCGTGAAATCGAAGATATACACGATCATTTATCGGCTAGTAAAGTATCAAAATATATTGATTTGCATTATTCGAATGATGGACAACCGATAATTGATGATGAAGCCGAAAATTTACTCAATCGTTTAAAATACAAAAGTATTTCAAGTGTGCTGCAGTCGAACAATATATTTTCGTACAAAGTTCGTTGGAAAGCGGATGGTATCAATCGATGTGTCAAATCTCGCGTTATGGTCGGTTCGGATTCATTACAACACGAAGTGTTAGAACATGCAATACCATGTAAAACATATGTAGCAAAATTTCACGGTCGAACTGATGTTCTGCATAAAGTAAGACATCTGATTTGAGGCTTTTAACGAAAAGGACAATATTGAATCTATTTGCTTTTTTCTCATTTCATTGAAAATGCTGATAGTTAAGTATCAAAATGCACGCGTTCATTTGAGGTGAAGAGAATTCAGATTTGAAGTCACTTTGCCAAAGTCTTGACGTCTGCTCCAGCCTACTTGTTGACCAGCAAATAAGTCTAATCCATTGTTTTGTTAAGGCTACTCCACATTCTCTGACGATGATGTTTAAGTCTCACTCGGATTTGAATTGCGTACAGTATGAGTGAGATTGGTATCGGCTTTAATTAGTTTTGCTTTTGACCAAAATTGTGGCACAAAACCAAGAAAATAGAGAAAAGGCGTCCCAACAGCAAAATATTCAGGAATACTTGTAAATGTAACAACCAAAGCAATAGAGGAGGCGACCGACATAATCGTACACCCCAAAAACCACAATGGTAAAATGAAATTCGAATGTTCAATAGCTTCTGATCGATGAATAAAAAGATAGATGATAAGTATTGTATGAAGAATACAATAGAATGCAATGCAAGCAAATGTACCAATCGCGCCGACCAAGTGTAGAGTACGGCGATCGTCTTCATTTACAATGGCCATAATTAGAAGAAATATACCACAGATGAATAGACTGACATGAATAAGAAGTATGATAGCACAATGAACAATTTTTTGGGATTGAATTAAAAACTGAAGTCTACCAATAAACATGAATAAGAATTGTGGAAGCAAAATGATAAAACCGGACATGAAATAATTATGTGCTTCACCAGTTCCAAGGTCAGATATTTGAGGTAATTGCTCTCCTGGCTGAATATTATTCGGTACTTGACTACACATAATTAAGGTCAAAACCAATGTTAGGATTGAAGTAAATGGTAAGATAAGTATTATTCGAAACCATATCACAGTACAAGTATTCGTCATATCGCATAATACTCAAAAGATATACGAAGTTAAGCTAAATAAAAATTGATGTTTTATTGAAAAGCAAAACAACAAAATTTAATATATTCATCCTTCTTTATCGAGCATACTGATATGGAAATGATAAAAGAAAATCAACCGTTGTTGACACATTCTTTCTATTAACATAAAAATCTTGAGCGAGAGCAATACTGTAATTTGATACTAAAAATGTTTTCTTAGTCTACATTGTACGCTAGAAATCAACGAGGAAAATTTACATGATTCTGTTTGTTAATTTATATTCTTCAATAAATAGCATTTTCATTGGATTTTTGCAACTAAACTTTACTTTTTTAACTCCTCTTAGATATAATTTCTGAGGACAGTGACTTATTATCAGGCGCCGGAAATGAAACATTTTCATAGAATTCTTTTGCCAGGAGATGTATGTTCGATTGGATAGAGCACATCGAGTTATTTACGTAAGCGATTTTTTCCCATTTGATAATGATTTTTTGCTGCAGAAAATTTTTCGAACAATGAGAATTTTAACAGACAGCTATTCTACGGTTTGCAATGAGGCAGTCAGAACTTTAATTCTTTTTATTCTTTCAAACATAAAAATGTTGCTTTCTGCTTCAGTACATTGAATCAACGATAGACATGTTTGTTTGTTGACAAACTTTTCTATGATTGATTCGATGGGCTGAATGAAAAAGTCACATTTTTTTATGTTTGAAAGAACGAGGAAAGATCAATGGGAAACAGACCGACCTATATCTCTCGTTATTGGATACAAATCAATCTGCTGGTCTCAACTCTTGCTTTTCAGCAATCCGTGTAAGTCGAAAATAGAATATTGAATTGAAATAATTAAAAGAAATGCAGAGTTTAATTTCGCCGACGCGTTTCGTGTTATTTTATTTAAATAAAGAAACAATCATCAGGGCTCTGCATTAGAATACAAGCACAAGAAACTTAGATTAAAATTGCGAAAAAAAAACTACAGATAAATAAATCGATAATACAAACAATGTATTTACTACAAACAGTTAATGTATATCATAATCTGTAGATAAAGAAAAGTATATTTTACATGACGCTTAATAAAGATAGTTAAGGAACATAGGGAAAAAACACACATATAGACAATGAAATAGAGACATCATGTTTTTTTCGACTATGTTGAAGATTCATTGAAATTATTTACATAGGGTACATTAAGAACATTACTTATCCGATCTACATATTATAATGATCTAGAATGGATTTAAGGTTCTCGCATGTGTTAATCGTCTTTGTAGATTTTTAACATTGAGCCTACCAAGAATAGGTTTCAGTTCGTTGGTTGGAGATTCACTAAAGTATTTATTTCATAAAGCGTGGAATTTGCTAGGAAATGTTCTCATACTTGAACAGTAAGTAAAATGGATGAACATTGTTTTACCATAGTCTATTGGTACTTTTTCTTTGACAGGGGAGTCTATCAACTGTTGACAATAATTTCCATAATTATTCATCGATAATGGTTGATCAATTTTTTATTTTAATAACACTTGATTGATTTGTTCGTCGATGAATTTATTTGGATATTTATTTACTAATAGTGTCATTCTTAATTTTTCACATTCATTCAGATAAGCTTGAAAAGTTGAACAATACCTGACGGCGCGAAGTAACATTGTATAGATAATATTTTTCTTCATATTCAATGGATGAATACTATTGAATGGCAAATAATATGATTCATAAGATGGCTTTTGATAAACTGTCGTCAACAATTGTCCATCTTGATTTTCGATATGTAAATCAAGAAAATCTGCATTTGAACCGATATGTTCTGAGAGCTTGATATTTTCATCAAATTGATTCCAACGTTCGATTTGCTTCGATAGATGACGACTTGGCCAATTTATTACAATAAATAAATCATCAATATATCGAAAATAGAGTCCACCGCTATTGCTGACTTGTTTAACTATGTCACGTTCATAAAAGAACATATAACAATCAGCCTTGGCGAGAGTCAGTGGAAAATCCATTGCTCCATCACGAATTTGATGCTAATATTGCCCATTATATGAGAAATAATTATTCTTCATCACAAATCAACTTAGAGGGTGTGGATGTGGGTTCGCCAGTACATGAACATGCACGATACCTACAGTCGCAGTCGCAGCCACACCCACACCCACACCCACACCCACACCCATACCCACACTCTCAAAACATTTCTTCCACTGACAAACAGTGCATCATAGATCTATTATCAAAATAGTATATAAATATTCTTATCAGTGAATCCATAGCATAAAACAACTTTTATTTCGTTCTCCTGTATCTTAAAAAAGCCATTCTGATGTCGAATAACCGCGTTTATACCGTGAGCGGCGGCTCTATAGACATCGTTGGCGGTCGTGGTGTTAGTGCTGATTTTGTGTTGGGCACGCCACAGGCTACAGGAACACTCGCTTGGGTTCAGAATACATACGCATCCCAATACAATCATGCTGTTGGATGTTGGGAAGCATTCGATGGTGCCAGTAAAAAGAGGCGAATGCGTGGAGGCCATCTATTATTATATAGATGGCTTATATTCGCTGTTGTCATTGTCTCGTTTGTGTTGGGTGGTCTGAGTAAGCAAGTTAAAGCCTATATTGCATTTCCAATCGTTGCTACAGTGATCTATATGAGTTTGACCATATGGAATTGGCATGTATTTCGAATCAACGGAAGTCTTCGGCATCCACACATGATACAGGTGCCTGCAAGAATACTTCCTGGATGGTCAAACAAGTTCTTTCGCATCCCTATTTATGCTCAAATTACTGATCGCCAAATATTGGGCATAACACATGAAGTCGGAACAATTATTGCTCAACTTATCCAACAAAGTCATGGAGAAACTTCGCTGCACATCATGGCTTATACAGACAGCTATTTGAGAAAGTTGAAATTTCCAAAAGAAACTGTTCTTCATTTTCTAATTTTTATTATCGTTTTTATTGTTGCTATAGGAAGTGTACTGTCTGAATGAGTTTAATGAACGTTCGATTCATTTCAGTTGTTTAATGTATATGATATTCTATTATGAAAGAGCAGAAGCCAGTAAAATTTGAAGAGGTATGTAGGGTTAGCCCTAGGATCGAGTGGGTGATGGTGTCAGCGCGAGAGAATTACAGAGCCATACCCACAGTCTAGTTGACTAATTAGTATTAACTTTGGAAATTGATTTTGGATCATAAATTCTATGCACGTCAAGCGTTTAAAGAAAACATAAAAACAACGAGTGATATGTGGATGTAGAAAATACAATGCAACAAAACCTAAATAATGAATCTAAAAAGCTATTCAGTGCAGCCCCTTTGGGGCTAAAATGTGAAACTCGAACATCTTCAGCTCCATTATCCCAACTTTATTATAAGTATTGGATTGCACGACAAGAACCACTGACACATCTTCACAGTTCTATTTCTTGGGTGTGTAGAACAACCATGATATCGATATTTCACCTACGTAACTAGGGTCGGGTGTGGGTGTGTATAGCTACCACAATACCATGTATTTCGATGTTGCTGAAATAAATCTTGTCAAGTGGCGAGGGGTGTGGGTGTGAGTGACGTATAGTTTCATATTCACACCCACACCCACACCCACACCCACACCCACACCCACACCCACACCCACACCCACACCCGACCTTATGAAAAACTTTAATTACAACTCTCGAAGAAAAATATGTAAAACAGTAATCTTATTACAGTAAGTAAAGTGAAATGTAAGCATTGTGAACGTCATTCTATTTGACATTGTTTGCGGTAAGATTATTTTCCGCGTAAGATCTACTTCAATTAAGACTATTGATTGCATATACGAAGCGTTCTCGATCAGAGTTTTTTTTAATTTACTGATATAGAAAGGGCGAATAATCAAAGTAAAACTCTATAAAAATCATATACTTTTAATCTATTAAAGATGTTGAATTTCAATCGATTTTAATCTGATTATTTGGCTAATTTTTTTTATATGGGTAAGTCTATGAATAAAAAATGCTTCATTTCCATGTACTCTCTTTTTCGTCGAATGTTACTACTGTTGACATTCAAGGTCTATTTTGTCACTAGTCTAATAATATTGGAAATTGAATATACCTAAGTGATAAACAATGTGAAGATGCATGCGTTATTTTTCGTGTGCTCGCTATCAGTTAGGCTGCGTATTTATCATTGACGAGAATAGTGTTTTTTTTATCACATTCTCGAACAAACTGCATGTTATCTCGCATACTAACCACGTGACATAAATACATATATGTATGCTTATTCTCTTTCTTTTCTTTCTTTCTACCAAATATTTTTTCTATCTCTCTCCTTATGCGATTAGAGGTGTCAGCCGACAGGGTGATCGGCGGTGGCGGCAAAATTTTTTTAATCCTTTTAAATTGTTATGTCAGGAGGGACATCTCCCGACATAAGAAGGTTCTCTTAGTCTCTCTGTAGTATCATGGTATCATGTTATTGATATTCTTCCTCCTTTTTCTATGGTATTTTCATTCTGCAGATAAAGAGAAGGTACAGAATGGAAGAGGGAGAGAGAGAGAGAATAAAGCACATAGCTTTTTGCTTTTTTATGCATGAGTTGTTTGTTTTTGTGAAGAAAGAAGGAACAACGGGAGAAGGACCTAACACAAATCTTCGGCGGCTGCTGATTTGAGTCTGTAGACTCCTCAGCGGCGACGGCTGTAAAAATAATTTTTTTTATGCTCATGGAGACGGCTGCTGAAAATTTCGACATTGAATAATTCTCTAGATGATAAAAGAATATCTGGCTATCTTGAGGGTGGGTGTGGATGTAAATAACCACTTCATTCATCCACATCCACACCCTACCTACTATTTTTCTTTTGTTATTTTATGTACCTCCCTTCCTCGAAATCACTTATTTTGAGTAAATACTTGCCTACCATTTCAATGGGGACGAATATTTACAAAATAGTGCATACTGTTCATGCAAATACCAAATGCAAAATACATATACACAAACACAGCTCAAGAAAGTTGGGTGTGCCTGTGCCGAAATGTCATTATAATTTAAAATTCGTAATAAATCCACAATAAATAAATAAATTCTGTAGAAGAATGCATCGTGTTAGCGTCTGTATTCAGTGCTTTCAAAGCTCTATACTTTTCCTTCCTTCTCACATTTAAATACAAGCTCCTTTAAATATTCATAGATCAGTCAATAAGCCACATATGATGACTTTAGGTATACTGTAGTTCAAAATAGAAAGTATAGTTGTGTAAAGTTACTAAATGGAAAGTGCAAATGACATAAGAAAACTCAACGATAACACTCGTTCAAGAAGAGATTAGTAAAGAAGTGTAAATCTAAAATAGTTAAATAATATTTTGTGGCGAAGTTGAGTTATGGATGCAAAACCTAGAAAGAATCTACATGATAGAATCATTGTGGCACGAGATCGAACGTTTCCCAACTCTCAACACTGGTCCGATTAGCAACTAATTCGCTGTTACCGAAATTATCAGCGCAGACATATTTTCCATTGACAGCAACTAAAGCCACTTTTCCATCGCCACGATTAACGAGTGTAAATGTTTCCCAAGAACTGACTTGAGATCGGTTGGCGATCAAAGGACCATCACCTGAATTTTCGGCACAGACATATTGCCCATTAGCATGTGATTTTAGAGCAACATTGTTTCCATCAAGAATGATAAGATCAAAGGTTTCCCAACCAGAGACAGTATCGCGATTTGCAATTAACGGACTATTTCCTCCATTTTCGGCACAAATAAATTTACCGTTTGCACTAGAGCGAATGCCAATAACTCGCGTGGTACTGTGAGGGGGGTCGATTACAGGTGCTTTACTAGTACATTGATAGAATCGAATCCATTCAATTTCCATGGTTTTTGGAAAAATACCTTCATCGATACCTTTCTGTCCACCCCTATTGATGAAAGAAAGTCAATTTTCACGCTTTATTCAAAATTAGTAATAATACTTGCCATGATCCTCCAACAGCAATATTAAGAAGAATGAAGAAGTTCTTATCAAAAGGCCTGTAAAAATTCGACATAGCGCAAAAGTTGATTATCTAAGTAATTCTTACCAGCCTTCCCAATTTTGTCCTTTCCGTTCCCAAATGAGAACTCTCTGAAAAAATGGATTATTGTCATCACCGACGAACATTTCTAGTTTATCAGAAGTCCAATCCAGAGTGTAGATCTTGAAATTATTGCAAGCATCATGAACCTGAACACCATTTGTTGGCTGTGAATTTTTCATATGATTGAATGCTGCCGTATGCACGCTCGATACGATTCGGTTTGAGTCGAAACCCACTTGTTCCATAAGATCGATCTCTCCATTATCCGGCCAGTAGGCATTGCCATAGGATTGTGCTTGAGGAAGCTGAACCGACAGAAAAAAATATAAGCTTTCGGATGAAATAATACTTACCATCCAAATGGCTGGCCATAAGCCTCTGCCACTTGGTAATTTTGCTTTTGCCTAAAATATATCATTAAAGCAGGAGCGAAAGTGTTCGAAACATACTTGAAGACGTCCATAGGTCCATGCACTCTTGGACTTGAGTCGAGCTGATGTGAAACGCTGGCCACCGTAATCTTCACGACGTGCTTCGATGATTAATCGTTGACGTTGATATCGGGCATTTTCAATTCTATCTGTATAATATTGTGCTTCTTGGTTACCTATCATTTAAAAATACTTGAATAAAAAGAGCTTGTGTACAAAATACAATTACCCCAGCCATTGCCTCCTGTACCGGTGTCAAAATCCCATTTGTTTCGATCGACTGGCCCGTCATGTGAGAATGAATCCTCCCAAACGAGATGATATTCATTATTAGACATTTTTTTACAATCACAATTCGCTTTTTCTTAATCAAGTAAAATCTGGAAGAGAAAAAAAGATAGACATTTTTTTTCTATCTTATCTATTCGCATATCTGTTTCTAAACTTCGACAAACTACTATGGGCTACGTGTCCGTGCGAATGAGAGTCCATCCGGTTTATCGTTTCGGTGGGAAACGATAGAAAAAAAGCTTCAAACTTTTCCTATCGCTATACGTCTACGTCCTTTCTATAAGTCTTAATCTTGTATATATCTATGTGTATCTCCAAATCTATACATCTAAATCTTTACGTCTTAATCCTTACGTCTTAATATATGATCTAGTACTTCTTAATCTATACGTCTTAATCTATACGTCCTAACCTGTACTTTTAAATCTATACGTCTTAACATATACGTCCTAATCTATACGTCCTAACATGTACGTCTAAATCTAGTACGTCTTAATCTAATGGGTTTTAATCTCTACATCTAAATTAATAGAGAAAAATCGTCACACCTCTTCTGGCTTACCCTATCTAATGATACCATGGGATTTTAGCATTATCACCTGGGATGCAAGTGGCATCATCTGAGATGCTAGCAACATCACCAGAAATGCTATTAGCATCACCTGGACGTCTAGCAACATTACCGAGCCCGGTAGCAACATCACGTAGGATGCTAGCAGCACCATGTAGACTACTGTTGGCATCACCTGTGAAGCAGCTGCATCCGAAATTCACATGATGAACTCCATGATGGCTGAAGGTAGATGCCACTGTGTGTACAGAGAGAAGCGTTGGTCGCGGCTCTGCGGGGGGCTCTGCGCGCCCCCACGCCGCGACACTTAAATAAAGGGTTGTTGTGGTTACCCATTGTTTTTCTATGCATAATATCGCATTACTTATAATCGTGCGGTATCTGTTTTTTGTTTCCCGATTTTATGTGGGACGTAATTCGAATTTGACAATTGATGTGCGTCTCAGGCAATGCCTGTAGCATTCCAAGTGAGGGTTAATTGGAGGAGTACTTATGGATGGACATAAAGATTTATTGTTACTGATTTAGACGCACTATATTAGGGCGTAATGCTTAGGACGTATAAGATTCAGACGTACTAGATTATGACGTACTGATTAAGACGTAACGATTAGGACGTATAAGATTCAGACGTACTAGATTTAGACGTACATAGTAGGATATGATAAATAAAGTTGTGCTGAGATCACAATGACTGTGGCTGAAATATCAGTTTATTGGGGATTTAGACGTACTCTAGACTCCTCTCCGAAATCATCTTCTGTTTTTCTATGAGCGTTTCCCAGAGTAATCATAAAGCGGATTATATGGATCTTGATTTTATTAACAGGATTCGTAAATACTTATATTAGGATTTATACTAACAATAGCTAACTATGAAAGTATACAAACCATTTGTTTCAGTAATATTTTGCCTATTCTAACGTTTAATGATTGCATCAGTAGAAAGCACATAACAACCGGAATCTAATATTTTGTTGAAATAAATGGATTGGGCGATCAGAATATGGATCATAAATACGTATTTACCCTTTAAAAAATAAAGCAAAGACTTGAAATCGGTGCAACAGTCTGTATTCAATTTTCAGCACATCAAAATCTTTACGATGCAAGTTTATATAGGATTTTGTCCCGAAATTAATGAGATTACATTCACTCAATTGGATTTGACATTCTTAGTGAAGTCATAAGCAGCTTTTCATTGATATTTTTTACAACAGTATGACGCTATGCAACTTGGCAAAATCAAATTGTATTTGATTATAGATTTAAGAGTGCTGCATGGAGAAAAAGTGTTTTTTGTTAACATTTATAACTTTATTGATACGCAAAGGAAGCAATATAAGGTACTCTATCTGTGCTTAGGAAATATATTGAGGTCGAACAACGCAATGTCTCATCATCAAACACTTATTTGAATAGCTTATCTGGTACAGCGTTTTATACACTTTCTATAGATATTTTAAAAATTGAACTAAACGTAATAGTGTCGTAAAAAATCACTTTTTATAGTTTAGTTGTCCGATACTTATGATACTGACAATAAAAATCTCTATTTTTCATATATACTCAATGAAATCTCCGATAAAAACTAGGAATTGTATAAAGTGCATTTTGTTTCTTCGTCTATTGTGTCATGAGAGAAATTGTCGCGCGGCGCGTCTAAAAACAATATATTATTGAATGATTTTGGTAGCAACTGTATGGTTCACTTTTACGAAAGAAATTTTGATAAAACAATCCTGACTATCTAGTTTCCATTGATAGTAATTAGACAAAAAATGTTATTTCGAAAATAATAGCTATGTTCCTCTGACAAAGTTCGATTTCTGTAAGCCGTTAAGTATTGAAGAATCACTGAAAGTGCACAACAAAATACGTATACCAAAACAAATCTCTTATCCATTGAATTCATCTGCAGAGTTAAACGTAAAACATTGCCTCTCACGAAGTATGATCGGCATATTGACTTTTACATGTCACCAGATTCGAGAACTATCATGCATGTCAACATTATATAACAGACGCATCTTATCTATATTCTACAAGAAAGGAAAACGATACATTTACATGGAAAATAGAGAAAAATTAAAAGAATTTTTCTGCAAATACTCAACCAATTTCAGACCTTTAGATCGACTCAAGTCACATCGGATGAGTTCAGGGTAATACAAATGTTTGACGACACAAAATTATAGGTTAATACAAGGAAACAAGTTTGTTTCTTTTCATAGTTTCGTAGAACAAAATGGCATGAATATGCGGCACACGAATACATTCTTTCTATTATCGTTAACTTTTTTTTGTGCAACACTAATTGATACCAATAATGTTAGAATGAAATGTATTCAATTAGCAAGAAAATTGTTTTGAAACGAGGGCTTAATTTTATCCGACGTAACTTTTTAAGTGAGTAAACTAAACCTTTTTGAATTGTTGACTCGAGTCAACATGCCCAAATTTTCGAGTCCGACTTGAGTCTGATTTATCAAAAAAAGGTTGTTCGCACCCAGTCATTCCTGGATCAATTGCAATAAATTGTTATCTCACAAGACTTTTACATCGAAAATAAACAGTGATTAATAGTAACAATTCTATTCAAATTTCTAACTTTATATTTTTCTTATTCGTCAACGAGAAATTTAATTTTCACACTGATAAGACCGACATAGAATATGTTATTGTTTTGAAAAAAAAAGAAAATGCTATCTTATCTGATATTTAATGACACTACCTTTATTGTTTAAATGGACACAAGTGAATAAAGAAGTACAATAAGATTTTCTTACATAATGAATAAGAAAGATAATAACGACAATGAAAGTGAACCCTTAATCAAAGTAACATATCCTCGATGGTGGCGAGGATTACCATCATTACTAATTATGATGATTATATCTAATATAGATGTTTTAATTTTGAATGATTTTATTGAATATCATTATGCAAAAGTGTATCAAGTCAATTCTACATCATCGGAAATACGACGTGAAATATGTTTAAATGAAAGTAGTTCATCATCAGCAGCATTTTCAACAACAACTTCAAAATCTCCTATAGCAACAACAACATCATTATCAAATTTAGTTCAAGCAGCTACAGCACGTTTAAATGTCTATATTTATCTTTCAGCAACAGTACCTGCAATAATAACATCAATACTATTGGGTGCGAATTGCGATCGAATCGGCCGAAAATCTCTCATTGCTTTACCATTCGTTGGTAAAATTACTCGTTATATTATTTTGAGTAGTGTTGTATATTTTGATCTATCTGAATGGCTCATAATTCTAGCAGTAATGTGTGATGGATTGTGTGGTGCAGCAAGTTTATGTATATTAAGTGCGTTTGCCTATGTTGCAGATTGTACAACAGCAAAAAATCGTACACCGGCAACTATCATAGCGAATATAAGTATCGCTTCTAGTCGTATTTTGCCATTGATAACATTAGGTCTCTATCTTAAAAGTCATCATTTTATAGTTGCAATGCTAATGGCCTTGGGATTAAGCATCTTTGGATTTATTTTTACATTAATTTTTCAACCTGAATCAAATGTAAAAGCACGAAAATTAAACATATTACAACAATTAACTCAAGTCAGACTTGCACCAGTTAAAAATATTCTAAAAGTCTATTTTGTTAAACGTCTAGAAAGTAAACAACGAAGATTGCTAATCAATATTGGAACTCATTTAGGTTTTATTGTTATGTTATGCGGTCATGTTGCTATTTTCTTCTTATATTTATATGGTTCACCTTTTTGTTTCGATTCGTTTCGAGTCGGCATTCTTACTGTTGTTCAAATCAGTACAGCTGTTTTACTGACAATTCCATTTACATTAACAATTGCTAAACGAACCGATAGTCTATTCATACCGATGATTGGTTGTTTGTGTTATATGACACAATTTTTAATACTCGGAACTACAAAATATCTATGGATGCTTTATCTTGGCGTATGTATTGGATCAATATTTTTCGTAACGACTCCAATCATACGTTCTCGAATCAGTAAATTAGTGGAGCCAAATGAATATGCTATAGTTTTTATCTTGGCGAGTATATTTGAATCAGCTGGCTATTATGCCATAAGTGCATTTACCAATGAAATTTATCGTTTATCGGTATCGTTCGATTCAGGTTTTGTGTTTTTTACTCTCGCTTTTGTTGGCATTTTACCATTAGTATTCATGACGTAAGTAAAACGCTTGTTTTTTCTGATAATTTAATTGGAAAATTGAAATTAACATATTTTAGATATTTATTTATTGTTGAACGTCGATTAAAACCCCCGCCAATCAAACCAACAACTAGTATCAATGAATAATAATCGTTTAATCGCAGTGATACTTATTCTTGTAATATTTTAAAAAGATATTTTAAGTAAAATAAATGAAATATCATTGGGATTGAATATTGATCAAGAATCAAGTAACATTTTTATTATTTATTATTAAGAAAACAAAAGAAAAAAGAATTGAAATAGATTCAACATATAAAGAAAACAAGTGTTCGTTGAATTTCTAAATGTATCGAGTAAAATCCTCATCACTTACAAATATGTACAAAATTGATTAATTCAATTCATTCTGATCGATCATTCTTACTTTTTCACATAACCATCGTCGACATTGCATTCGAAATTTTCCCTCGAATGTCCACGAATTTGCTTCACTTGGTATTTCTCCGTAACCAATCCAAACTTGACAACCATATGGAAATGTTCTTTCATGTTCAAAATTTCTTGCAGGTCGAATCCAAAAATCTCCACCTTTTAAAATATTTTCAAAAACTAATTGAGAAATGCCCGTTGCAAGTTTTTGAGCTGGACATCTTCTTATATCGAAGCCCCATGACATAAGTGGTGGATGATCATTTGTATCCCATCGTTGAGAAATAAACTCATCTGGTTGAGTCCATCCATTTCTATTTAACTGTACTACTGAAGCAATCCATCCTCTTTGTTTCCCATACGGTTGCCGTGTCCACAGGTCAGTTAATGGATGCAAACGAAGTGTTTCATGTATTGAATTTTCAATATTATCATGAAAATCATTTGGATATTTTGAATATAAAAGCAGCATATGACAAACAAGATCCGTACATTGAACCGATATAGTAGTTAGAAAATCTTCTGCTATCGATGATACTTGATGAATTTCATTCATTGCATAAAATTCTTTTGAATCATGAAATACAAAATCATTTTCATTTTGCTTAATTAATATTAACGTTCGATCGTAAAGAGCTTGACGTGCTTGTAAATCTGGTTTTGATGTAAATCTTTTTATAATTTTATTAATGTCAAGTAATCCGGGGTAGATATCATTAAATTCATCTTCAGTTGGTATTCGATTAAATAACAATTGAAAAGATATTTTTGCGATAATTTCAAAAATGTCCCAAAGAACATTTCCTTTTTTACTTTCTAGCTTAAACTCAAATGAATTTTCTAAAATTCTTTGATTGATTATCGAATTTGCAATGGAAAAAACATCACGTCGCTGTTTCCAATATTGATCATTGTCAAGAAGAAATGTTGGAAGAAACGGACATAGAGCATTGGTAAATCCGTCCAATGGTTTTCCACATTTAGGAAGACTAATTAATGTTTCACTATCACATATTAAATCTCGACTAATTAAGTTTATTTTTCCTTTTCGATTTTGAAATAAGTTCCATATTGCAGTTCCAGGTGTCATTAAACTGAACAATACACGCAAATATAATAAACTCGTATAATAAACTGCTTTTAGACCATTGATTAAGTCCATTTTGAATATCTAAAAGAAAATTTCAAATATAAAAGTAGATCAAAGTTTTGATTCATTTTTTTTTCAACCAACAAAAATTGATCTCAAATTCAGTACATTGCTTATCTAATAATAGTTCTGAATTCTATACACATGAGGACCAAAAACTAGTTTAATAATGTTAACTTCAATTTCTCTTTGAAAAATCTCATTTATCATAATGACGAATATCCCTATTTATATTCGACAAAAACAAGTCCAAATACTATGACGCAAAAAAAATAATAATATTAAACCTGACTATCATAATGATTCGACAATTTCTCTTATCTTTCCATAAACGAAGAAAAACAACAGTGTCACACATTAGACGTACTCGAAAAGCACTACAAAGCCTATTTAAATGAATCTCTTGTCAAAATGCTGAGTTTTAATTTATTACCGAGTTTATTACTGTTATCGGTAAGGTTTGTTTTCTTCGTCTACTATTTCAAAGGTATTTTGCTTTAATAAATGGTGTACTGTTTCGAGATTTGTGTCGCTAAACACAATGACAAAATATTTTTGATGACAAACGAACTGATTCTTTTATGATTACCGTCGAATTCTATTACGAATGAAAATCACAAGTTATTTTCTTATAAGATACATCATCTAAGGCAGGTACACTAGTGTGATGGGGATTTTGACAGTACAGCTGAAGTTGATTAGTAATTGGCTACTTTACGTTGGCTACTATAAAACTAAATTAAATGTGATTGACACATTTTCTACCCACAATATTCGGATGTGTAAGCTGTAATGTATATATATATATTCTAGAAAACATGGCCTGTGACCCACGTGTCTACTGATATCATTAGTATTTTGTAGCAGCTGACGTAAATCTCATTGATAAAGCTTAGAAACCTATAAACAAAACATAAAAATACGAAGTATTTTACCAATCTAAAATCTTATGAAAGCTCAGTAGTATAACTAGAAACTGGTGCCACTCTTTTTTCTTGTAACTTTTAAATCAAATATTTTAAAGATTTGAATTTTTTATCGAAATTTAACCCTAAGATTTAAGATTTATTAGGCCTTCTTAAAAGTTTTAGCTGGAAAAAATTTTAAAAAAAGACAAAACGATTGGCTCTACCGTCTACTACCCATCCACTCGTAGTCATTTGTTACTATTTTTGTTACGTAACGATAAAAAAAAGATTGTTCACAGTTCTTATCTCTTCATTTTTTTATAAAGCGATTTCATCTTGCTACAACTTTTCATTTTATTTTTACTGTGATGGTACATTTATCATTCTTTTATGTAGAGAACGATTCGAATATATTGAATATTTTTATTTTAGAAGAAAATAAAATGAATAAAAATCATGTCAAAGTTCATGTCGGAATCATTGGATGTGGTTGTAGTGGATTAGTTGCATTGAAAGAATTATTAGATGAAGGTCATCAATGTACTGTTTTTGAAAAATCAAATTCTATTGGCGGCGTATACACTCAAGCGTATCAACAAGGAGAACTTGTATCAAGTCATTTACTAACTATGTTTAGTGATTTTATTGGCAATGATGATAGCGCTCTTGAAAAACCACGAATGTTATCCTTTATTGAATATTCGGAGTATTTAAATGGTTATGCCGAACATTTTCGTTTAAAGCAATTTGTTAAATTACAGACCGAAGTCAAATCTGTATGGAAAGATCATTCAGAAAATAAATGGAAAGTTCTTGTTAGTAACGACCTTGAACAAATTTATACATTTGATCGTCTTGCAATTTGTACTGGCGTTTATGCAAATGAAAATATGCCAACATTTAAAAATCAATGTTTATTTCAAGGAAAAATAAAGCATTTTAAACAGGTTCAACTATATGAAGAATTTATTGATAAAAAAATTTGTATCGTCGGAAGTGGAGAATCAGCGAGCGATATGATATTAGCTGCTGCGAAATTTGGTAAAAAAGCTTTTCTATCGATAAGAAATGATCATGGTTTCATTGTACCAAGATATATTCATGGAGATCGATTTGGACCAGCTGATTTAGATACATCACGTGTTCATCATTCTATTCCACGTGCATGGGGAGTTTTACATACCTACATCGATATGATTAATAGTTTAGTGAAGTCATACTTGAAATGCTTGATTTATCAAGGAGGTAAATCCAATGATTATGATAAAGTAAGAAGAGCTGGAATTTATATGAATTTAAAACAAATAAAAACAAGTAATATATGGAATACATTTGGAACGAAAAATGCCAATATAGTCGAGGCTTTAGTTAAATATAGTGATACATGTTGTAGAAAACCGGGCATAAAAGAATTAAAAGCTAATTCAATTGTATTTGAAGACGATTCTGAAGAATATGTGGATGAAATAATTTGTTGCACTGGATTTCGAAACTCATTTCCATACATAGAAGAAAGTGATCGTGCTGATCAAAATTTAAAACGTATCGCAAAGGAAGCAAAGGTTTCTCATAATTTATATAAACATTGTTTACATCCCGATCTTGCTGATGAAATATGTTGGATTGGATTCGCTCGACCTGCATTAGGTGCTATTCCACCCTTAATAGAGCTGCAAGCACGTTGGTTTGCTTTATTATGTTCAAATAAATTGAAATTACCAATGAAATTCGATATGTTAAAGCAAATTTCTAAATATGTTAAATATTTAGAATGGCAATTAACAGTCTATCGTGTTACTCGTCTTACTGGATTAACTGATAACTTAATCTACGCGGATGATTTAGCGAGAACGATCGGTTGTCGACCCAATTTCACAAGAATTTTCTTTACAGAACCGAAATTATGGTTGAAGTTAATGTGTGGACCTTTAATAAACGCACACTATCGTTTGACTGGGCCTCATGCGAAACCAAAACAAGCAAAACAAATTATACTAAAAGCTAAATGGGTTATACAACCGAATGTTTTGTATTCTATAATGTTAATGTGTTATTCTTTTTTCTGGTTAGTCTTTGGAATTGAATCATGTAAACCTGCTTCGTGGTATCCTTTATAGGATATGTTTTTATTATTGTCGATATTACTTTAAGAGAAAAATGTTCTGTCTTACTTGTTTTTACTCTAATAAATGGTAAACATATCTTGAAGGCATGTTCTATCTAAGAAATTTTGTTTTTGAAGAGAAATTCAATGGTGTCAATCAATGTTATATTGAAATTTAGAATCCATCGACACGGACATTCATCTCATAGGAAGTCTATAATTCAATGTATACATATTATAGGGCTGCTCGCAATACCGAAACCCTAGTGTTGCTATCTGCATTAAAAAATATTGACTTGAATGCTATCTAACTATTACTCTAACCAAGGTAGAAAAGACTGATGATGAGACACTTTTCAAAAACAAAAAAGTAAATATTTCGTAGTACATACGGCTGTATTTGAAGGTTTACTTTGCATCCAATACTACTGGAATCTCAACTCACAATCAGACATGAAGGAATAAGGATAGAAAATAAAAAGTTTTAAATAGCATATGGATAACCAGCTCGATTAATATATATGACAGTAATCACAGTTGTAGCCCAATGATATGTTGACTCGCCATGTAGCTATCTATTAAAATTGATATAATGAGACTATTACTCATCATTACATATTGAATTTACAGTCTCAAAATGCGTCCTGTCAGCCGCAGATATAATTAAATAACATAGTTATAAAATAATTTAAAAACATCATTTTTGTTGCATTTCAAATGTTCATCAATATTTTTTATAAGTGTCTGGCGTTGAAATCAGACTGTTAAATTCGGATCTGTCAACACTAAATTAGATTTTCAAAAAATTCGGTTCAAGTTTTTTATATATTATTTTGTTCATTTTTACACAGATTCAAGTTCATACAAGAGTAAAGACTTCATTTTTAATTGAATAACATTTCGGTACATGCGAGAAGAGAAATATTAAGATGATCACATTTTTATTTTGTTCAATGACACTCTATAAATTAGAAAATAAAAAACAAAAAATACAATAGAATTTATTTTTATATATTAGATCTCAGATTTTTTAAGTTTAGAAATAGTAATTAGATAACGTTTTTTTGTTTTTATGGAAGATGTTGGCACAGCCAATCAGCTTATTAAGATCTTGTTTTTACTGTTGCACCACTTTTCTGTTTATTATATATTGATAGAAGAAGATTCCTAAGTTCCATAGTGAAAGTTTCTTGTAATTCTTTTACATAATCCTGAGCAATCGAATACTATCCAAGTGGAATTCGAATCATTTTACCCTGAACAGTACTGCCGATTGATAATGTTATAACTCTACCTTCGTCGTTGATACTTGCGAAACATATAGTTATAATAGAATAATTTTGGCTACGCCAATAATGTGTTAGAATATCATCATGCCGATATTCATCGACTGAATTTTGTTTATTGTTCAGCCATGTGTAATAGCCACTGTGTAAATACTGAAATGCTGACACTGACAGCACCGATACACTGAGCACTGAGAACTGATTACACTGTCACTCGGTCTAAACTGGCACCGAAAACACTGATGCACTGCTACTTGCTGAGACATAGGCCTTCACTGACCACCGACTGCACTGATACACCGATGCTGATTTCAATTAACTACACTTTATATACAGAATATAATGGCATCTCCCGATTTGAAAATATGAATCCACATCAGATTTCAATTGGATAAACGCATTTGAATGTGATCGTGGGCGTGGGTGTGTGGAAGTGATAAGCTTCTTTCCCGACGAACATCCACACCCTGTACAATGACATATGGGTTATATGGATCGTAAAATTTGATGGAGTTGCAACTTTGAAAATGAACTCACAGATTTAAATAAGCTTGAAGAAACTCTTATCTTCATTATGCTGATTTGAAAGAGGCATGTATTGACGATGCAAATTTACAAATTTGCATATTAACTTCGATCCTAACTGCAAGATGGAATGTGAATTTTTAGTAGATCCTAAAATGAAATCGCGAAATTCAATTTGAAGCCTTATCATTCTCTTATTGGCCAGTACATTTGTATTTCTTTTGAACGTATCTTCAGAAGTATTTATCTACAATGTGCGACAATGACGGAAGATAATNCGCATGGACGATTCGTCGCACGGACAATTGGTCGCAATGTAAATTAATGAAAGTGAATATGACGTGTTGCTTGATGTAATTGAATCAAGTAGACTATGCTCAATTAATTGAATAAGTCCACGAATTTCGTAGACTGAGTTATGAATCTCAAGGAAAAAATAAATAATCTAATAGGATTTTGCGAAAATCAGAAAAAACCCATTAATTTTAAAAATAAATATAAAATAATTCTCCTCAGTGACAGAAGACATTTCTTGTCATACAATTATCTATATCAATTATTCTACATTCTCATTAGTCTCCCTTAATTAAATTAGAATAAACATGTATGCGACGAATTGTCTGCGACGAATTGACTGTGCGACGTATTGTCCATGCGACGAATTGTCTGCAACGAATTGTCTTGCGACGAATTGTCCAGTTGCCTTAATAACATAGACATGATTAATGAGAAAATGTAACGGGTTAGTTCTGATCGATATTACTTTGACTTTTACTGCCCTTTCACGGGCAAAGGAAAATAAAACAAGAGCTTTTTTGTCTCTAGTATTGATGCATATCTTATGAAAAAATTGGTCTGAACTTAGTGATGACTGGAGTATTTTTCTTCTGTGGAAGAATAAATATCCCTCGGCTTTCACAATTCAAAGCAGTCTTAGAGCCAATAATTGAATCTTCAAAAAAAAGGTAGACAGCTAGAAAAAACAAAAAGGATAGAGATGCGGAACGCGGTGAAGATCTTGAATATTCGGGTGAAGTTCAGGCATTCTAGTGCGTGTAGAATCTGTTTGGTTCCTATCCAAATGCAGTGCGCTGAACTTCTCATTAAAGTTTTCAAAAATGTCAAGCAAGATAAGAAAAAGATGATTTCGAAAAAGTCAGCTTCAAAATGATCTCATGATCTTCTCCTTTGTGATAATTTTAAAAAGACTATTGGTCAAGTTTATAATCTAGCCTGTAGTCTTCTTTCCAGGTTTGATTTTAATTTTGTTTAGAAGAAAACAAGAGAATCGGTGATAAAACAAAGTAGATCAGTTATACAAATCTAGTGTAGAAAAAACCGTATTGTCTAATCTGATGAAAATCATTACAAGTCATTAGATCAAGAGTCAAACTAGTATTTTAAGTCTAATGTTGCTTTTTTATATTCAAATCAGAGAAATATAACTGATCCTAAGACAAAATTTATAATTCGTCTTCTGTGTCAACTAGCGATAAATCTCAATTTTATACAATAATAGTCTCTGAGCCAATGTTTTTCTCCACTTTCAAACTATTTTTCTTTTGTGTCAAAATTAATGCCAAAAACAATACAGTCATAGATAGAGCCTCTTATCTTTTGGTCGACAGAAAGGCTGTGCTGCTACCTGATTGTTTTAAGCATGTTCAACTGTCGGACTACTGAATGAATAAAAGATTACATATAAGATGCCATATATTGATTTGATTCAACATATTTCTGGTATCTCATTGATTTATCTTATTGCTTGCTGCTGTTTGTTATTCTACCTCGAGCATTTTCTCCTAAAAATAAGAAACTAAATTGTCGTGTTGTCAAAATGGACTTGATACTCATCTAATTAGGTTAAGTACCTAGAATTTAAAAATTGATAACCCTAGTGAACTGTCTTGGGGTACGCGCATGAAATACATGAGCATTTGGAGCGAGAGTGTCATGCGCTGTGGACAAATCTTGATATCTGAACATGTCAAGCATATGAAAAAATAAGTTCGCTTAGGAAATGATTTTCCTCAATAGTTTAGTGCAGCTTTTCAAGCCATTTGATAAAGCAATGCAGCCTTGACAATGAGTTCTATCAGATTTCCAGGGCTAGAGTGAGGATCATAGAGATTAAACATGAATTTTTGGAATGTCATTTGTTCTTATAAAAATTCCGAGAATTCATGCGATTCCAGGGATTCCTGAATCCGCCTATTCTCCCTTGTACTATAGCGTTGCAGCCAGGTTTTCAGGTTGGAGTGTGCTCAATCCGGAAATGTTTTTCAGATCAATTGAAAACTATTTGAATTTCTTCCACCTCTTTTTGAGTAGAATAGATGTTGTATGAATGTTGTAGAGGTCCAAACAAGCCTACTATTTTTGACCATGATCTCCTTACCATGGCCCATGAACGTTTTTATGTTACTATTTTGATGATATTTGGATGAGAAAAGCAGAATTTCTTGATAAGATAACAAGGAAACTTTATATATGAAAATGAGAATGCTAGTCAGTGTGTATTCATATAGTACACTAGGTATCTGAAGAGAATACATTATCAGAAGACACGATATTTAGAGAGATAACTATTTTTGAATTCAAAAAATGTTTGATGGAACTTGATAGACTAAAGAATGAGAACGTATTAAGAACAAATATTTACTCGCAATATAAGTTTGAAATGGCGAGTGCTAAGACTAAGCGTACTATTTACTAGAAGTAGCGCTTTCCTTTTACTTTCAGAAAGGTAATGAAAGGACAGTTTTTGCTTTCTTTTTTCTGGGAAAGAATCTTTTTAATTTTTCCTACGTTCCTATATTTTCTCTCCGGAAGGAAAGCTGTTGCTTCCTTTTTACTCGGAAAGAGCATCTTTTTTATTTGTTCTACTTTCCAATATTTTTCCTCGGAAAGGGAAGCTATGAAGAATCATGAATGATAAGTTATAAAAACTTTTCCATTCATGTTTTCCAATCTGTCTAATGTAGCCCTAAACGATATACAGGAGACATTTTCAAATAGGAGTGAGAAGTTATTATTATCTTGTTGTCATTAATAACAAAAAAAATAACAATAACTATTTCTGTTATTGTTATTTGTAACAATAAGTTTTTTTCGTATTGTTATAAATAACAATAACTTTTTTCGATAGTTATTTGTTATAAGAGATCTGGCCACGTTTCCTGGAGTTGGCAACTCATTGAGA